CCTATATTATCTGCTGGTAACCATAGCAACTACAATTCATTATGCTTTATATTGTGTTAACTTACAAGTGCAAGCACAAGTGTTTTTTTCTTCGATACATTTGAAGGTTATACTGTTTGTTTTTTTATACTGTAAAAATAAAATGCCTTCAAAAATACAAGTTGTGTATGTTGTGTATCCTTGCCTTCAAGTACAACTGTAATTGCTAAATGCTCAAAATAAATGACACATTGGGACTTAAAAATGTGTTAACAGGTGCATTTAACCTTTTAATAGATGAATGACCTTTTTTCCTGGCACTTCATTGATATTCCACACACTGAGACTGTCTGTCAGATGATAAATGATCATGCTGCTATGTGGTCCTCTGAGAAAACAGTACATATGCTATATTAGATTAAATGACATTTAAATGATCCTGATTTGAGTCGCTCCAGTGGAAAATGGTGATATCGTAGACTCAGGGAACAGAGCAAGTGGAGTTTGTTAAACATAATGCAACCAACAATTACAGCAGTAAACTGCGATGAATGTGAATTACAGTGTGCAGGAGTGTGTGATTACAGTAGTAGACCTGCAAACAGAGCCGCTCTGGAAGCTTCCACTGTGCCATCAATGGAGGGGGAGGAATACATCAATCTGATTGGCTGAGGAGGAGGGAAGGCTCCCGAGCACATTTGTAGTGTTTTTTGCAGCTAGATCACGTGTATGTGTGTCTTCATACAAGGGCTATTTCCCTCTATTACTCACAGATACATATCTCTCACTCTCTGCTCTGGAAGTAGAGAGATGGAGAGGCTCTGGGGACAAAGAGAGTACGGAAAGGCCTGAGATGAGATCCAGGGAGCAGAGTGTGGTCATGGTTTGTTTGAGTGTTGTCATGGAGAGGCAGGAAATGTGAGGAAGAAGGAGGGTAGTTGTCAAGATTTTGTTACAATAAGTCACATGATAAAATATGTCTGTATTCTGAAGCATGAAAACATCACATGAAAAGGAAAGCATGATAATCAGACTTAATTGCCATTTAATTTCACATAATTCGTTCAGCCTGATAATTGCTCATAATTAATTACTCGTTTGGAGCTGGCTTTTTTGTTCTGTAGTGAGAGAGATATCTTGGAAGCTCTTGACACGGAAGCTGGTAGCAGTTGCTAATAGTAACTCAATGTTTCTCAATATCAAATTAATCTGTAAACTCATTTTTTACAGCTTCGTCAGGGTTATTCTCTGTTGTTTTTTAGGATTATGTCCCGATTCGTTATCCTTCCAACTGCTCCTTAATTAATTGAAGGTGTAAAGAGCTACTAATTGGAACAGCAGAACCACGTTTTCCCTTCATAGTGTTAAATTTCAGCCACTTACTCAAAATATAGGTGTTGCTCTTTGAGAAACCCCCCCCCCCCCCCCAAGAACTAACACAGATTTACACGCTTATAACTTTCATTTCCCCCTCTTTGGTGATTTCCACAGAAGCCTAAATTGCTATGGGTGCTTCCATCACGTGTATGTATGTGCAGTTCATAGCTGACAGATTATCTATTTCCAAGTATACAGGAACACACACAGATGTAATCTCTGCAGGGCCGTCTCACTATCCTCCTCTCTTTCTCCTCCCCTGGTATGACTATCAATCATGTCTCTCTTTCCTTCATGGGTGTCCCTCTGCTCAGTTTTCCACATATTAGGCTGTTCCCAGAGCTGCAGGACCCCAGGGACGACCAACAGTGTTCTTGTCCTGACAAGGGCCCCTCGAGAATCAGAAAATAGCCACAGCTCCTCTAAACATTAGAGCCTCTCAGGTTTGAAATAACCTTTAAAACACAGTCTCTCTGAGACATTTAAGGCCACATGTCTGGCTTCCTATCTCTTTATCATGCTCTGGGGGAATTTGGTTATTTGAGATTGTTAGTTTTCAGAGCACTGTTTTGTTTTTGTTTTTTTACATGACTTGGAATGCAGAGATAATGTTTTACTTCGGCCCCCATTTAAGCATTTTAATAAAGTATGTAAATAATTGTTAAAATGGGTATTTTCACTGCTATGTAGGCTACTGCAAATATGTACGTTTTACCATCGACTGTAACTTACTAAAGATAAGGACAACATAGAAATAAATAACTTTCGATAAATAGCCTGTACTGTACATTAATGGCGCATTTCCACTACAGCGCGGAGCGCTGTTTAAGCGTGCCGTGCCCGGCCCGTTTTTGGTTTGGCTCTCCAAAATCGAGGTTCTTTCCGGGCCAAAGAAGAAGAAGAAGAAGAAGAAGAAGAAGATCGTACACACGCGTTGTTATAGCCTACAGGTCATGCAGTACACACTTTTTAGAACATGCACATATACAAATACACACGCGTTGTTATAGCCTACAGGTCATGCAGTACACACTTTTTAGAACATGCACATATACAAATACACACACAGTTATATGCACACATGCACATGCAGTTGAGAGGTCAGAGCGGAGGCAGCCAGTCTAACCGCGGTGAATTTAGTTTTAGGTTGGATATTCGACGGACATTCGCGGACCCGCCAGCAGCGTCAGTGTCCCCTGCTGCTGGCTGTATTACGACTGGGAGATCTTCTCCGCGAAACGAGGCGTTCACTTAGGGATCATCAACAAATGACTTTTCAATTACACAAGAAAACATTTATTTTTAATAAATCGACAGCTTCCCGATCGAGTGAATGTGAAGCAAATCCACGCTCGAGCATACATTTGTTTTAATAGCCTACTTTAAATACGTTTTATTAATATTTTTATGGAAACATTTGCATATTTCTTCAATAACTTCTAGATCATGTGACCTAATGACTCAAAATCAGTGCTGGATAAAATAACTAAACTTGCTGCATAGGACACACCTCTTTTTATTGCATTTTAACACTCTAAATATTTTTATATTAATATTTTAATGCGAAAATGAGCATATTGCTTCAATACCTTCCAGGTCATGTTGTGACCAATTCACTCAAAACCAGTGCTGGGTCAAATAACTACACTTGCTGTATAGGACACACCTCATTTTATTGTATTTTTATACTTAAAATATTTTTATATTGATATTTTGATGCGAAAATGAGCTTATTGCTTCAATACCTTCCAGGTCATGTGACCTAATCACTCAAAATCAATGTTGGGTCAAAGAACTACACTGGCTGCATAGGACACACCTCTTTTTATTGCATTTTAACACTCTAAATATTTTATATTAATATTGTTGATAGAAAAATTAGCTTATTGCTTCAATACCTTCCAGGTCATGTGACCTAATCTATATACAGTATATGCTCAAGATCAATGCTGGGTCAAAGAACTACACTTGCTGCATAGGACACACCTCTTTTTATTCCATTTTAATCCTCTAAATATTTGTATATTAACATTTGTATGGGAAAATTTGCATATTGCTTCAATACCTTCCAGGTCATGTGACCTAATCACTCAAGATCAATGATGGGTCAAAGAACTACACTGGCTGCATAGGACACACCTCTTTTTATTGCATTTTAACACTCTAAATATTTTATATCAATATTTTGATGGAAACATTAGCTTATTTCTTCAATAACTTCCAGGTCATGTGACCGATTCACTCAAAATCAATGCTGGGTCAAAGAACTACACTGGCTGCATAGGACACACCTCTTTTTATTCCATTTTAATTAACCCTTCGGTCCAAAGTCCAATCCCCTACAGACTGAACCACTCCCGCCCCTACAACCAAATGAACATATTCGACCGTGATTTAATTGTAATACACATTTCAAAATGATGCAGAAGTAACAACATACTGATACCGGTTAGTAAAAACCATGAATTAATGCTTTGACAAGTCTGCAGACAGACGGCAGGCGAAAAACCTTTTAAAATATGTGTTTTCTGAATGGAGATCGGCTAACGTTGTATATGCTCCGACCGTCCAGACTTCACAACAATGGCCTATACAGACATAAATAAACCAGCGACTGTATTCGCCATGACACAGACAGTCTGTGGTTTGTACTTGTTTAACTTTTGTCTAGTTTCTGAACAGATATGAGGAGCTGTGAGCTCTGAGGGCTAACAGCTGACGGCTGATGTTGGTTTTGTGTTTCGCATTAAAGATGACGTCACGGCTCCGCCTACACTGTGTTACTATAGTTACTGCCCCAGTTCCTAAACTGTAATGGAAACACAGCATAAAGTGAGCCTGGCCTACCAAGGCCTAACTATACCGTACTAAGCCGTGCGAAATGCGCCATAAGAGACCCTTATATCTGGGTAATGTGTAAGCTTAATGTACTTCTGAGAAATAAGTTTAAAGAAATTAATTCAAAATTACTTTAAAAATGAACGTATGATTGATATGTGGTACAAACTCCTTTTTTATGGTAGTCTTTTATTATCATTATGGTGATTGAGCAGTTGAATGGAAGCTGACTTCAGTCGGGTAAGTGGTGAGTAAAGTTGGAGCTAAAAAGCACAAAGGGTTTGAGGAAATAAATGTTACTTTTGGCCATCTCTTCAATTCCTCTGACAGGAAGCCATAGATTTTCCCCTGACAGCGCTCACAAACCTGACATGCTTTTGGTATTTTACATGCAGAATGACCGAGACATGTGCTTCATATGTGTAGCAGAAACTCTTAGCTTTCCATCTTGAATTTCACCTTGTGTTTGTGTTCAGATACGTAAGACTCACTGCTCTTCCCCCTTTTTCTTCTCTCTATCTCAAAACTTTCACCCACATACGCCCTACTCTCACTCTCTTATTTTCCATTCCATTAATCACCACAAACTCATATCCCTACTTCCATCACCTTTTTCCATCCTTTACCACTTACCTCTTCAACTCTCTCTTGCTTCCATCACTTACCTTTTTCATTTCCCCTTCTCTGCCTCCTCGCTCCATCCTTCTGATGTTTTTTCCTTCTCTTCATTATTCCTATAATTCCTACATCCACTCCCACCTGTTTCCTCTCATCCCTCTTCCTCCTCACCTCTCCCTCTGTCACAGAACCATGAGCGGGAGACGGCGCTGCACTGTGCGGCGCAGTACGGTCACTCTGAGGTGGTGTCAGTGCTGCTTCAGGAGCTCACCGACCCCACCATGAGGAACAGCCAACAGGAGACCCCCCTGGACCTGGCCGCCATGTACGGCCGGCTACAGGTCAGTAAAAGTGACATATATGTTCTTTTCATGGTGAAATGAATAGCAGAATGTGTATATTATTTACAATACAAAGGCCAAAGTCTTTTAAGATGTTCTTCAGTTTCTATTAATATCCTTATTGTTGCCAAAATATCAAGGACCTTATCTGTATTTATTAAAATGTACATCCTTGTACCAAAAGTTTTTTTCAGGCAGATGGCTTGCAAGTCACCAGATGCATTTTTTTTTGCATTAAAGTTGCAAAAATAGCTTTATCTTTAAAAGTTCCCATTTGTCCCTTTTCACCCTTAATATAAGGTACGGCAGCATTTTTTCAGCATGTTTTAGGTGTGATAATAGTCACATTTTGGTAATCTGACGCAAAAGGCTGGTGGGGTTTTTCTAAATTCCAATTACTAAGAGTATTGTAATGTCGTAACTAACCTTACATTGTTGTCCAGAAAACATTCAACATTACCTTTTTTGGAGCTAGGGAAAACAAAGACCATAAAGACTTTATCTTCTAATATAAAATATTTGAATCCAACAACACATAGAAATGCCCAGTAAATATAGTTGTTACAAATATTTAAACTAAAGTTCAATCATTAATCACCATCCAATCCAGACATTCCTTAAATTAAATCTCAAACTTGTACCTGGAAGTTTTTTGTTCAATTTAATGTCAAGAGAGATCAAGTAATATCTCACCTTGTTAGACTTGACCTTTTAATACCTCTAAAGGGGAGAAGCTCAAATCTCCATATACTGGATGAAAAGTCACTTAAAAATGATTCAAACCTTTGAAATTAATGAGAATGTCACACAAGCGTCCGCTACCAGCTGCTGCAAGGGCACAACGCCCCTAATAACATTTAATTTGCAATGAAAATGTAATCATAAAAAAGACAGTTCTCATTCATAACACTCCGTTCGATGTCTCACTATGGGATGCGCCTCAACGCGTATGCAAACAGAAGCATCAATCTCATTACGCCAATCCTGATTGGCTGGTGATCTTGACGTCTACGTCAGGGAATCCACCCACCCTTTAAGTAGCTTGCGCTACATCGCAGCGTCATTCAAACACCTCTTCTCGCTTCAGAGCACATCTCGAATATCAGTAGCCGGGCTAGCTTAACGGTCCACAGACTGAACCCAAGCTAACATTTGGTCGACGGGCGCTTGCCGGTTACTTTTTTGCTTTGCAGAAGAATTAAACAAATATTAACACACCAGTTAATATTGTAATTTGCCCCGCCGTTTTTTCTTTCGAAATAACGGTAAGGTTTGATTTTTTTCTTCAAACAGTAACATAACTGTTGCTAGTTTATCCCTCCGCGCCGACACCACGGCGAGCGGGGACGGACTCTTCTCTCCCTCACACCAGAGGAGACGGAGATAAGAAAGATATTAACACACCAGTTAATATTTTTTAAAGAAAAATCTACCCCGTCGTTTTTTCCTTTCGGAATAACGATAAGGTTGGAATTTTTTTTTTCGGTAACATACCTGTTACTAGCTTGTCCCTCCGCGCCAACACCCCGGCAAACGAGGATGGACCCTTCTCTCCCTCACACCAGAGGAGTCGGAGGCTCGGCTCGGAGGCTCAGCTCGGAGGCTGCGGGTTTAGGATCTCGGGCACGGACTCACACCAGGTCTGCTCGTCCTGCCTTGGGCTGGAACACGCCCAGGAAGCTATCGATACCCCCGGTTCGTGCAGGCATTGTGCCCGCTTCACCATCAAGATCCTCCGCCGACGGCTAGCGTGCCAAGCTAGCCTGTCAGGACGGGACCCCTTCATGTCCGTTGATTCGCCGGCCGGCAATCGGGACATGGCGGCGACCGCCGCGGAGATTGAGCCCCGCGCTGTGTCAGGCTGGGGTTCAACAACGGCGGTAGCCGCGGAATCGGAGCCCCGCGCAGTGTCAGGCTGGGGCCCGGTGGCGGCAAGAGCCGCGAGAGCGGAGCCCCGCGCTGTGTCAAGCTGGGGCTCCCAACTGGACCTCACCGTGGTTCCACCCGCGGAGGATGTCCTCCAGCTGAATTATATGGAGGAGGATGAAGAGGATGCCTCTGAGTTCCTCTTATCCGACTCGGATGAGCACGAAGATGACATCTTCGTTTCATCTGCCCAGGCTGCCAAGCCGGAGGCGATGTCCGCTCCCCCCTGGCGAAAGCAGCTTCGCCCTGCCTCAGTATGGACTTGCAGGCCGTGTGCCAACGCGCTGCGTCCAGGCTGGACATCCCCTGGCCTGAAGTGGCCAAGGAGACCTCCAGATCTCGCTATGAGGGGAAGAACTTGCCCCAAGCAGCGAAGGATGAGGAAGCAGCTTCTCCCAGTCTTTCCAGAGATGCTGGACGAGGTGTCGGTCTCGTGGAGAGACCGCCCTTTCAACAACAAGGCCCCAATCCAGGGTGCCTCCTCTTTGGACTGTGTCGGCATGGAGAAGCTCGGCCTGCTCCGCATGCCGCCCATGGAACCGCTGGTGGCAGCCCACCTCCAACCGCGGCTGGCTTCGGCACCGAGCAGGAACCCAACGCTACCGGTCAGCAATGACCGAACGAGTCTATAAAGCCGCAGCTTTGTCCGCCAGGGCGCTCAACGTCTCCTCGCTGCTGACCGCCTACCAGGTGGAGCTCTGCGAGGACATGACGTTCAAACCTGAGCCAGCCGTGTGAGACGAAATCGCAGCGATCACGGACATTTGCCTCCGTGTGCAGCGCTGTGCAGTCCAAGCCACGGGCAAAGCACTGGGGATAATGGTGGTACAGGAGAGAGCCAGGTGGCTTACCCTGACGAACCTTCCAGACCGGGAAAAAGAGGACGTCTTGGACATGCCTATTGTTCCCGAGGGCATATTTGGCTCCGCTCTAGCTTCGATGCAGCAGCGGTGTGAATCCAAAAAGAAGGAGGATGAGGCTCTCCAGCTTTGTCTTCCCCGAAGGGTCCAGCCACCGCCTTCAACGGCCCCGCGGCAGTCCTTCGCTCAGGCTGCCTCACGTCCTGCCGTTTCAAGATACAGAAACAGCAGAGGCCACAGCCCGCCCCGGGTCTCCAGCCCAGACACGAGGCGAAGACGAGCTGGCCAAGAAAGTCTCCGGTTCCAGCAGCAGCCGCTCAGGCACAGCCGGCCCAGACTTTCAGCCACCAGACGAGGAAGAAGAAGAGGGCGGCCTGACAGCCTCCTCTCCTCGATAAAAGAGCTGGAAGTTCCCTGTTCTCCAGCTCCAGAACACGTTCCAGTATTAGATGCTCATGTGTTTCCGGGGTCCAACCATGCCCCCATCTTCCCGCCACCTCGAGTGATGTCAGAACGTCATCCTCAAGTTCGCGCCATGAGGGAAATGGACTTAACATCAACGACAGCAAGCTCCGCTGCTCGTTTAAGTCACACAAACACATGTCATCACTATTGTCTTTTAATAAATCATTTTCCACTGTCGTTTCCAGGCTTAAAGCCAAGGGCGCAGTCAATAAAAATGAAAAGAAAGACAATAAAAACAATAAACAATCTGACGTCTACCCCCCTTCTAAGAGTGGCTGCTACCTCTCTCAGAAGGCGGACGATGGATGGGGCTGTGAAGGCATCACCGCCACGCGCATGCGCAGTGTCGACCGGGGTTGTCAACCTGGGGTACCACCGTGTTCAGACACTAGAGGGCCCCATAACACAACAAATAAAGACACAGGGGGCAGACGACAGGGATGTGACATCTCCATTCGCTTTGAGAAGCAAAAAGTAGAGGATGCTCACAGATTCTGCTTGGGTTTTCAAGACAATAACACGGAGTTACAGACTCCAATTCGCTGTCACCCCCCCTCACTTTTCGGGCATTCTGCATTCGCAAGCCCGGGGAGAGTCGGCCCATATTCTAGAGCAAGAGATCCTCTCGCTACTAGACAAGAAGGCTATATCTATAATACCCTCCGAACAGAGTCAGAGCGGCTTTTATTCCAAGTATTTCCTCGTTCCCAAACGGGGAGGGAACGGGATTCGGCCTATACTATATTTGAGGGCTCTGAACAAATATCTCAAAAGATACAAATTCAGAATGCTCACTCACACATCTCTGTTGCGTCTCGTGCGCCAAAACGATTGGTTCACATCAGTCGACCTGAAAGACGCGTATTTCCACATCCCAGTATATTATCCACACAGGAAATATCTGAGGTTTGCCTTTCAGGGTGTCTGTTACGAGTACAGAGTACTTCCCTTCGGTCTGTCTCTCAGCCCACGAGTGTTTGTACGGTGTACGGAAGCCGCGATACCCCCGTTAAGACAACAGGGTATTCGCCTGGCAACTTATCTGGACGATTGGCTCCTTCTCGCACAGTCGGAGCAAGAGGCTATTACGCAGACGAATGTCCTCGTAAAACACCTGCTCGACCTGGGTTTCGTAATAAACACAGAAAAGAGCATGTTGTCCCCAGCCCAGACTGTACTCTTCCTGGGCCTACGCCTGAATTCGGTGCCCTTTACAGTCCGCCTGTCAGCAGAGAGAGTGAAAGCCTTCAGGGCTTGCCTCGCTCATTTCCAGCCACGCAAATATGTTCTCTTCAGATCATGTCTGCGGTTACTGGGGCTCATGGCGTCAGCCATCCTGGTGGTATGACTGGGACGCTTACACATGAGGGAGTTTCAGCGCTGGGTAGCTGCCCTCAGACTGGACCCCGTGCGTCATGGCGCGCGGAGAGTGATGGTCACTATGAAATGCATAATGGCACTGCGTCACTGGCTGCACCCGACTTTTCTAGTACGGGGCGTGCCTATGGGTGCTGTCCTATCGCGGAAGGTGGTCACCACAGACGCATGTCTGACGGGCTGGGGGGGTATATACGAAGGTCGACCTGTGAGGGGTCTCTGGAGCAGAGACCTCCAACGGTCACACATCAATTATCTGGAGCTTTTAGCGGTGTTCCTCACCCTGAAACGCTTTCTGCCTTTTCTCAGAGGACATCATGTCCTCGTGAGGACAGACAACACGACCACAATATCGTATATAAACCGCCAAGGGGGTTTGCGTTCTCTCCAGTTACACATGCTGGCACGCAAACTGATCTTATGGAGCTGCGGACGTCTCCTCTCTCTGAGAGCGAAGCACGTACCAGGAGTGATGAACCTCGGGGCAGATCTGCTGTCCAGAGGTGCACCGCTATATGCAGACTGGACTCTACATCCAATAATTGTGAGTCAGTAGTGGGTGCGTTACGGCCGGGCCGCGGTGGATCTGTTCGCATCAAAAGAAAACGCTCAATGTCAGCTGTTCTTTTCAATGCGCGATTTAAACGCACCGTTAGGCGTGGACGCGCTCGCACACGTTTGGCCTCCGGTCCTTCTGTACGCGTTCCCACCCCTGGCTCTGATACCCCCAACTGTGGCCAGAGTGAGAGAACAACGCCACACACTGATCCTAATAGCTCCACACTGGCCTGCAATGTACTGGCTGGCGGAGATATATCAGCTGCTGTGCGGGCAGCCGTGGCAGCTCCTGCTACGCAGGGACATACTGTCTCAGGCGGGGGACGACGATTTTTCACCCACACCAAGAGCGCTTGGCACTATGGGCCTGGTCCGTGAGTGGTACAATCTGAATACGTGGGACTCCCTCAGAAGGTGATAAACACTATTCAGAGTGCAAGAGCTTCCTCCACCAGGTCCCTCTATGACTGTAAGTGGAGGGTGTTTGAGGAGTGGTGCCTTCAAAAAGGACACATCTCTTTTCAATGTCCTGTCGGGGTGATTCTATCATTTCTACAGGACCTGATTGATAAACACAGAGCTTTTTCGACGATCAAAGTGTACCTGGCTGCTATTGCTGCATGCCATGTGGGCTTTGAGGGAAAGACGGCTAGCCAACATCCCTTGGTCTGCCGTTTTATGAGGTCACTGGTGCCCTTATGAGACTTGGCAGTGGTTTTAGATGGGCTCACTCGACCTCCATTTTAACCCCTGGAAGAAGCTGACATGAAACACCTGTCACTGAAGACAGTGCTGTTACTGGCTCTGGCATCTGCCAAGCGAGTCAGTGACATTCATGCGCTCTCTGTACATCCTTCATGCACTCAGTTTGCCCCGGGGCAAACGAGAGTGTTGCTGAAGCCCAGCCCTGCCTTTATACCTAAGGTGGTTGGCTCATGTACCCCCATTGACATTGTGGCATTTCCTCCGCCGCTGTGTTCCTCTGAGGAACAGCGGCCAAATTTGCTGTGTCCAGTTCGTGCTTTACGCATCTATATGGACAGGTCAAAAGAGTTTCGTTGTAATGACCAACTCTTTATATCCTGGGCTAACCCTCAGAAGGGCAAGCCCGTTACCAGGCAATGGCTCTCCCACTGGATTGTGGAAGCGATTGCTCTGGCTTATACGATTCTACTCGTGGACTGGCTACATCCTGGGCTTTGTTCAAGGGTGTTTCCATCCAAGACATTTGTGCAGCGGCGAGCTGGTCCTCGCCGCTCACTTTTGTCCGCTTTTACAGGCTAGATGTCTCTGCTCCAAGTGTGGCCCGCGCAGTGCTGGGTCCCGTGTTGAGACAGAGTTCTACCTGTTAAGTTCTGGTTGTTTTGGTGATTTTCGAGATAAGCATGTCTAGCAATACGGGAGTTTCAATATCCCATAGTGAGACATCGAACGGAGTGTTATGAATGAGAACTATAGGTTACTTACGTAACCCCAGTTCTCAGAGTAACATGAAGAGAGATGTCTCTCCAGACGGCCCTTCTTGCTAAGGCGAAGCGAGAAGAGGTGCTTATTTTGAATGACGCTGCGACGTAGCGCAAGCTACTTAAAGGGTGGGTGGATTCCCTGACGTAGACGTCAAGATCACCAGCCAATCAGGATTGGCGTAATGAGATTGATGCTTCTGTTTGCATACGCGTTGAGGCGCATCCCATAGTGAGACATCTCACTTCATGTTACTCTGAGAACTGGGGTTACGTAAGTAACCTATAGTTAAGGTGGCACAATGTGAATACAACGTATTAGTACAGGTGTCACTTGGCTCCGATAACACAAACTCAGTGGGGAGCTGGTGAGGGATCATTTTTTTTTTTTCAGCAGCTACACTGGCTAGAGGGTGGGATCCTAGAGAAGCATATGTGAGCCTCTGCATACATTATGTGTCTTCGCTGGCAGGGAAAAGGTAGCAGTTGGTAACTCAATCTGTACCTTCCCCAGGACCACGGGGAGGGCGGGTAGCAGCATGATATTGATATGAATTTCATTTATTGATTATAATTATTGATCATCAAAGTGTTATCATCAAAGCTGGTAAAGGTGCAGCTAGTTACACCTTTAACTAGCTGCACTTTGTATACTGCAGGGTAGCAGGGTAGCTTGTGAAGTAACTAAAGGAATTTAATAAATGTAGTGGAGTAAAAGTACACTATAAACCTCTGAATCGTAGTGGAGTAGTAGTACAAAGTAGCTTAAAATTGATAAAGTAGAAATACCTCAAAATTATACTTAAGTACAGAACTTGAGTAAATCTACTTAGTTACTTTACACCACTACTAAAATACACACACCTTTCACTATGCCACGAGCATCTGCTGATGTTCAAATGCAATCACACATCCTCTCTGCTGAGGTATGAGTAATTGCAGTCAAGCCACACAGGTTTGTCTGAGCGTGAATGAATAATTTATAAAGGCAGCGGTGTTTCTCTCTCGCTCTCTGCATCATAATGAAGGGAAATCCCTGTGGTGGAAGCTACTGCTGCTCGGAGATGTAACTAACACGGGGCAAAAGTTGACTGTACACACATATGGAGAAATACATTAAAGGAAGTAGCTTTGGAGAGAACTTTGTGATGACCATCAAACAAAGGGCTACTCCACTACTGACTGACAGCCTCCTATCATGCCCAAGATGATTGACAGGTGTACTCATTCAAGGACGTGCTGTATACTACAGAATAACAAATGAAACAGACCTACTGTATATTTCCATTAATTATCGATTGGAAAAAACCCAACACTGAATACACATTTTTTATATTCAGATGACCACATTTTTTGCTCTGCTTTTAGCTCTCATTATAACCTGACAACTTGAGGTTTAAAAAGATAATGGTGGCATATTTCTCATTCGAATGTATCGTCATTTATTATCCAATTGGTACTGATTTCACACAGAAGTAAATAAAAGCTAACTAGGTTTACAATGCTAATGTGATTTGGTTAAAAACTGTGTATCCAGCTGACTTTAACGCTGGTTTATTTACACTATTAGCTGCTACTGTTTTGGGCTTAACTTAAAACAGATAAAACATTTGTTACATAAATTCCTTACAGTCTTCTTCTTTAGTTTTTATAAGGATTAACAGACCCTACCCTCCAAATTCTTCACACGGAACATAAATGGCTTAAGTAAATCCTTCTCACTTGAGCTCCTTTCTGGCGCTTTATTATTATTCTGTATGCTGGGTGAAAATGTAAATGTATAATGGACTTGCTTGGTGCAGTATTTCTTTGTCTGCTGTATTCTCTGGCTCAGATAACTTTACAGCGCTTCTCTTTGATTCTCAGGGGCTGAAACACTTACTGTTTCTCAGAAAAACTTCAAACATTGTTTACTGTTGTTTTATTCTTTCAAAAAGGTGTCCCAGTTCCCCCAAACGTTGCTGTTATTCTCCTGACTTGCTGTGTTTGTGTGTGCAGGTGGTTTGCATGCTGGTGAGCGCTCACCCCAACCTCATGACGAGTCACACGCGCCGACACACTCCGCTCCACCTGGCCGCTCGCAATGGACACCACAGCACCGTGCACACGCTGCTGGAGGCCGGCATGGACGTCAACTGTGTGGTAAGAGAGAACGAATGGCTTTCAGCTGCTGGTGTCCTACATCAGCATCCGAGGATATCACAGATTCCTGACTCAGATTATCACAGCCTTGCAGACACAAAAGAGATAATGAAATAGCAAGAACTGTGTTTTTGTCTTGGGGAAAACCATGTTCCTTTTGACAAAATTGGATTTGAAAAAGGAAACTGTTACTTGAACCCTAACCGTAACCCAGGATCTATTGTTGGCTGTTTCTTATTTAAATGTGCCAGCTGGGAGGTGAAGAAAGTAGTCCTCATAGAAATGTTCACGTTCAGATTCCTTTCAAATATTTACACATTTACTGTACTGATGTAAAAAGTTTAACACTTTTGGTCAGGAGGTGAAATGTCTTGAACATAATCGATAAGAAGTGGCGCTTTATTCGTTTTAGTGATGCTGCTGTGAGTGCAGAAGGTGACTCTTTGTCCTTTTGTCTGAGTAAATCTTTAAAAAATCTCTGCGACTCTGACTCTGCTGTATTTATATATAGAAATGTATTGATTGGGATATTTCAAATGCAGTCTTCTGTTTTTAATGAAAGGGAGTATGGCTTTGTTGTTTTTGTATATAATCCACCACAGGCGTAAACGCTTGGCACATTCTCCTTCTGAAAGGAGCCAGAGAGCATGTATACACGGTGCATGCTTCCTATGGTGAGGTGGTGGGGAGGGATGAATAATTGATTGGGGGGAAGAATTGAGAGAGGAGGAGGAAGAGGAAGAGGACAGTATGTTCCTGAGAGAATTCCCTGTCACCTCACTCCTCTTTACCCACAGTCTGAATACAGTCACCTCAGTCTATGGAGCTTCATTACTGCACACACTCCGTCATGCTGTCTGAACCCCTCTTCCCCTTCTTCTATCACATTGTGTGTTTGGAGTTCTCTGGACAATTCAAACACTGCTTTGTCCCCACTCTTTCTGGACCATTTGTTTTTCTGAGGCCTTGTCAAAACAACACCACGCTTTGCTGCTCTCCTCACTGTTGTCTTTCTCTGGAGACGATTTTCCTCTGACAAACTAAACGATTTGGCTTCGCTCACTTGTCTTAAATGTTAAGTGCAGAAAAACAGCCCATGTCTGTATTTATCAGGCTCCTGAGCCTATTTGAGCCCTTTCCGATTGTTTTGTTTTAGAAGACGTTTATTTTCTCTCTCTCTCTTACTGAGGTACTTTTTGTACTCTACTAATTCAATTCAACGATATTGGACAGGGATCCAAGAGTTCAGCATTTTACCAACAAACTTAGCAACAAAAAATATATATATATATACATATACACACATTTCCAGGTTGAAAAGAACGTACAATACCAAATCAATGAAAAATAAATGTAAGGAAAAGAGAGGGAAAGAAAGTAGAAACAAAATAACTGCACGTTCATTATGCTTTTCACTATGTTAAAATCAAACATGTATAACAATTGTCCTTTCAATCTGTGACATTTATTTTATGAAGTCATGAAGTGTCTCAAAATCTGTGCGTGCGTGCGTGCGTGCGTGCGTGCGTGCGTGTATATTGTTTTGTCATGGCTGTGTGTGGTTCGAGTTTACATTTTTAGTGTCCCTTGTGGGTACTGCACATGGCAATATGTTTCTGGAAAATATAGAAACACAGTTTCCAACACAGCATGAAAATTAAAAGTGTGGAATATAATAATAATAATAATACATTTAATTTATATAGCGCTTCTCATCTGCCAAGACAAATCTCGAAGTGCTTAACAACAAAGGATACTAATACACTTTGATAGATTAAACAAATAATTGTAATAATAATAAGAAATCAAAATATAAAATATAAAATAAAGTACAAAAATAAAAGTCGGTGATAGCGATACAAAAATGGCAGTACTCCAGGTGTACCATGCTCAAAGTTTATTGGAAGGCCTGCCGAAAGAAGAGGGTCTTAATACTGATGCCAGAGAGTCAACATAACATTTTCTATCATTGAATTCCCTTTAAACTGTATTTTAATTGCGTCTTTTGCACTTAAGCACATACAGGCTTATGTTGTATCATTATATAATAATTAGACTGTGTGAATACTAATAATCAATACAGCGGTACTAACTGATCATTCATTCTGGTGCTCCCACAGCGAGGAGAAGCATGACTCAGCGCCTTCTTCTCTGCCTCCTGTCCTGTGTGTGTGTGTGTGTGTGTGTGTGTGTGTGTGTGTGTGTGTGTGTGTGTGTGTGTGTGTGTGTGTGTGTGTGTGTGTGTGTGTGTGTGTGTGTGTGTGTGTGTGTGTGTGTGTGTGTGGTGTGTGTGTGTGTGTGTGTGTGTGTGTGTGTGTGTGTGTGTGTGTGTGTGTGTGTGTGTGTGTGTGTGTGTGTGTGTGTGTGTGTGTGTGTGTGTGTGAAGAGAGGCGGGCTGTGTTTCTCTGCAGGGATTTGGTCTCGGGCTCCATGTGTCTAGTGAAGATGAACACAACACGCCTTTGATTTCCCTCGTCCTCTCCAACATACACAGTGCTGCAGACCTCTCTCTCTCTGTCTTGTTGTGTCTTCATACAGATGATGAGCGTCACAAGCGTTTGGTTGCTCTGATCTATTGTGCTTTTTGACCTTGAGTCTGCTTCATCTCTTTATTGCTGAACATATTGTGTAGAAGCATCCATTTATCAAAGCTCCATCTTTTTGACCTCTCTTTTTAGACGCAGTAATCCCTAACACACATTACATAAGTATCTGACAAGCATCATTGCCACCCTGGAGGGTTAAATGCGATGTGTAATTTGAGTGAGATGACACATGCCATCTGACCTGCTTTATGAACCATAATCTGTTGAACAGGCTTTTCTGTTTAGAATAGGACTGTCGTATACATTTATCGGCACAAAACATTAAATCCACTTCCCTGGCTCCTTAATGTTTAGTTTTTTTACCTGTATTCAGATCCAGTTATGTACTGTAGATGTTAGTCAGTATATTTATTAAAAAAAATACTATGATGAGCATTAATGGTTTATAAAGTATGCTGAAATCAAAGTCTAAACCAAACTGTATTGTTGCCCTCCTTTTTAGTTACTGATGAATATATGGAGAAGCTAAATCCAACAGGCTGCTAACTAACCCACACACATAACTTTTTCGTTTTTTAAAAAGGGCTTTTTACTCTGCACGTGTGCTTTATGTGTGCTGCAATCGTGAGGCAGTGTGCTCATGTGTTTTAATCCTGCTTATGTATTGTATCTTTTCTTTTAATACCCTCAACCTGCCAGGGATTGCAGATGAAAATTAGCCTCTATGACAGACCTGGCACATTTACATTGCTCATGTTAATTCATGTTTATTGTCCCTTCTTAAATAAATGAATACAAATACAACACCATTTGAATAAGGCTCAAACTGCCAATTTTATTTGAATATATTCTTTACCCTCTCTTCCACATGCAGTGCTACAGCCTTACTGTCGATAGTATATCGTAGAAGCTGTGGGCGACCCACAGATGGCCACCTTGCACATTGTTGGAAAGCACTTTGTGTGTGTGTGTGTGTGTGTGTGTGTGTGTGTGTGTGTGTGTGTGTGTGTGTGTGTGTGTGTGTTGTGTGTGTGTGTGTGTTGTGTGTGTGCGTGCACAGGTCAGTAATTGGTGTCAAGCCATATAGGTCTGTTTGAGTGTGAATGAATAATTTATAGCAGCAGCAAAGTCACTCTCTTTCTCTGAATGTTTCCATAATGAGAGGAAGTCCCTATGAAGCAACCTGCTGCTGGGCAGGCAGCCAACAACACAGGGCAAGAGTTTAGAATAAACACACACACTCACACATACACACACACACACATAAACCCTGTCGACAGCCTCTCCTAAGTGAGCATTTACATTCAAGTCTTCTGCCTTTCAATTCCCGGAAACTCTTAAGAGAGGGGGAATGGCCTACCTCGTTTCCTCGTGACATCATCGCGTAATCGTCATGGGAAAGGGGACGGGAAGTGGTATAGAGATGACCATAGAGGAGGGGTTAGAAGGGCAAGTGGTGTGTGTGTGGAAACAGGGGTGGATCATTTCCTGTGCTCCCACCTCCGCTACTGTGGGAAAAATATTGGTACCACAGTCAATCCCGCTATGTCACTAATGTGGATACAATTGGGATTTACACCTAGACCATTCTCCCTGGATGACTGACCTTTGACCTTTTGAGTGGCCATATGTTGTCCGATGACAATTTTTTGATGCAGAGGAAACAGGGCGACTTCAGTACGTTTTTGGGATTCTCTGCCGATCTGGTGCAGTGTTGCGTTGAGTTGAATTTCCCGGCTGTGTTTCAGCAGACCTGGCTGTGGTCCAGATCATTCGTCTTCATTAAGGCTGCGAGTCTGCTCTGCTGCAGGTTTTCATGAGGGATAAGGAAGCCAACCGTAAAGGATAAAACAAATTCTGTGTGTGTGTGTGTGTGTGTGTGTGTGTGTGTGTGTGTGTGTGTGTGTGTGTGTGTGTGTGTGTGTGTGTGTGTGTGTGTGTGTGTGTGTGTGTGTGTGTGTGTGTGTGTGTGTGTGTGTGTGTGTGTGTGTGTGTGTGTGTGTGTGTGTGTGTGTGTGTGTGTGTGTGTGTGTGTGTGTGTGTGTGTGTGTTGTGTGTGTGTGTGTGTGTTGTGGTGTGTGTGTGTGTTGTGTGGTTCGAGTTTACATTTTTAGTGTCCCTTGTGGGTACTTTAGCTTCAAGCAGTCTGCACATGGCAATATGTTTCTGGAAAATATAGAAACACAATTTCCAACACAGCATGAAAATTAAAAGTGTGGAATATACTGATGCCAGAGAGTCAACATAACATTTTCTATCATTGAATTCCCTTTAAACTATATTTTAATTGCGTCTTTTGCACTTAAGCACATACAGGCTTATGTTGTATCATTATAGAATAATTAGACTGTGTCAATACTAATAATCAATACAGCGGTACTAACTGATCATTCTCTGTCTCTCTTTTGCTGTTTTTCTTACCAAAGAAAGTGGATGTGATAAGTTAACTTTAGAGTTTTACAAACGTTACTCTTTAAAACTAATTTAATACCTGGAAATACATTGCAACGTTTCTTTTCTTACCTGTTCTTTATGGCAAGAATATGATTTGCACAAATGTATGTTTTAATTTTTGGTAATGTTTTCTACAGTCATTCTGTTTTGTATGCCATCAATGTTTTGTAAATGTTTCAATCTGTCATTGAAAATTATATTATTAATTTTGAACAAAAGATTAGTATTGTTTGAATGTGACCTGACCAACTTACCACCACCCATCTGTTTCACTTTTTTAAACACCAAACCAAAGTATTTGAAAATGTCATAGTCACATGCATCTTAGTTCTTATTCCTCCCACGCAGCGTGATTGTAAACATCTGTTCTTTGTACGTGGCTCCTGAGTGTTGCTGATAAAAGTAGGCATGTCAGATTACATTTCTCCCCTCACTGCTGATATGAGATGAGGTTCGTACTGTACCAACGCCCCCCCCTCACTAGTTTCCATGTGTTGCATCATATCTGTAATATCCTCATATTTGAAGCAGTGGAAGCCGATACAGGCCGGCATATGGCGAGGGAAGTTGGGAAGTTTCCACACACTCTCCTGCTGCTTGTGTCACAGTTGAAATCAGTGTGGCCTCATGCTGTTTGCAGGCATGAGAATGATTTATATTTGTAAATCTTGTGTTTTACTGCCAGAGAAAAACAGGCATTGTATCAAATTTAACTATTGTTTTCTTGCAACCTTTAAATCTTTTTTTTATTATGCCAATGCCTCCCTATGCAATTTTGGTTGTGTATTTTTGTCTGTGTTCGTAAAGTAAAACAGGGGAAAGTGTGTTGTCTGGGGATGCAAAATGGATGAAAGAGAAGGTTGAAAGGAATATAAAAAGGTTAGAAAAGTGTCAAAATAACTATAATTTCACGGGAAGACTAGGGGTAGAGGAATGTGAGAATTGGGTTAGGGATATTGCCAAATATCAGGAACAAACTACCAGAGACCTGCAGGTCCACTGCAACTCTTACTACTTTTAAATCCAGGCTGAAGACTTTTCTTTTTGCCGCTGCTTTTAATTTAACTATTCACATTTTACTCTGCACTGTAACTTTTATTCATGTACCTGTGTTATTCATGTTTTATTATCTTTGCTTTTTAATGTTTCTAATGTGTTTTATGCTCTTAATGTCTTTCATGTTTGGAAAGCACTTTGAATTGCCTTGTGTTGAAAAGTGCTATATAAATAAACTTGCCTTGCCTTGTGTCAAATTGTGAAAGTGATGGAATAATAACACATACTCTCTGTTCCCCTCAGACGGAGAATGGCAGTGCCCTCCATGAGGCGGCTCTCTTTGGGAAGATGGATGTAGTCCGCCTGCTGCTTGACTCAGGTGGGTCTATAAATATATCCTGGAAGAACACAAACTGAGTGTGTTCCCCTTGTTTTCCCTTTTTATTTTAACCTGGGGCTAGATGCTCCACATGTCTTTATTTCTCAAGATAGTGGATTGAATTTGCCCTCAGGTTGACTCCAGACATCTGTCTGCTGCATTCTCTCTGTTATACAATCCTGGACTTACAGTTTTATTGTTGTTGGAAGGATTTGTCGTATCAGTAGAAGGTGCTGAAACTTCAACGGGAAATTATGTGGTTTCTTTTTTTGATGATGTTGCTTGACTTGATAACAGGGTGAAAGGGATTAGTAGTGACAAAAACCCACTTCCTGGGGGTGTTTGGCTCCCAGCTCCTTCAAAAATAATCACGTACACCTGTAAATAATGTGCATTGCTGTTTTTCTTCAAAGTGTGTATAACTATGATTGCATGTAAAACTTACTGGTTAGTACTTTTTTTTTAAATAGTGGGAAAATTCCATAACACTTCTTATATGCAGAGCAGATTGAATGTCACTGAAGGACAATGTAAGCTTTTTGAAACCACCACCCCCCACCCACTTTCCTTGAGCACTTCCTGTTTCCCGCAGGACTACCTGTGGATAGCCATGTTCTTTTGGCCTCATGTTATTAACATCCTGGATCAACAGAGGGCTGAGCTGACTCATTCACTGAACTTCAACTCTTCAAACACTGTGTGAATGTGTGAGTGGGGGGTTACGGATGAGGGGCCGGGCAGCCAGCCTTTCATTGTCAATCATGGCTAAGGATCTTGAATATTAAATCAGTGGTAATTTCTAAGCTTGGAAACAACTGTTTGTCAGGCATTCAACAAACATCTTAGAACTTAAAATCTGACTTATTTATTCATTCAATTATTTGGTTTTTGATTTTAAAATAAAAGCAAAAAAAGGTGCATGAAATTCTATAAAAAGCATACCAAGAGAAAAGCAGCAAAATGTATTAAAAGTGAGTATGAAATAGAGAAAAACTGGAGCATAGCATGGGCCCCTGAATGTGCTATGTCTCAGTTTGGATTCATTTTTCTTTAATGGTGCATAGCAGAGGGACCCGATGTCATATATCTTTCATGTTGAATTGGAACCATGAGCACAGGGAGGGGTCGTACTAGTCGGGTAAATTAGGATTTATAGTGGACCCTGCATCCTTGAGTTATTTCCTGTGTTTCTTTTTGCAGGCAAGTATGTGTCATTTCTGTGATTTAGCACGGTGTGTCCCATTGTCCGGGAGAAACCTTGGTCTAAAACCTAATGAAAAGGGCTTTGGCTTTTTGTAAAAATCATCATTTTTATTTCACACATGCATTTTCCTGTAAGGTTTATCTTATTTGACAAAATCATTGGTGTTCTGGTTTGACCTTTGCCCTATTGTTTGTGTATTGATGCTCATGCCCTTTTTCTCTGTGTGTGTGTGTGTGTGTGTGTGTGTGTGTGTGTGTGTGTGTGTGTGTGTGTGTGTGTGTGTGTGTGTGTGTGTGTGTGTGTGTGTGTGTGTGTGTGTGTGTGTGTGGTGTGTGTGTGTGTGTGTGTGTGTGTGTGTGTGTGTGTGTGTGTGTGTGTGTGTGTGTGTGTGTGTGTGTGTGTGTGTGTGTGTGTGTGTGTGTGTGTGTGTGTGTGTGTGTGTGTGTGTGTCAGACATCGACACCAGTCTAACAGACTGCAAAGGGAGAACGGCTCTCGAGATCCTGAGTGATCATCCTGCATCCAAATCTCAGCAAATCACTGCTCTTATCCAAGGTAAGACACACACACAAACATGTTCACACGCACAAATCATACATGCAGTAGTCTAGATGAATACTGCATGAAAAGATTGGGTAATTTCAGGAGCAAAACATGTAATACTCACTTACAATAAATGTACTATATCGCTGAAAAAATAGACTATACTATCCATCGAATACAATACAGCTTATTTGTTAAGCAATCTCAATGTTATCATTATTGTATTACATATTATGCTATTATGCACATTTTATGATAGCTGACAGCACTATTTAGACCAAAATCATCCAAAATCTAAATGTGGATGGAGTACTTCAGATGACATGGGCTGCAATATTTTATAGATATTTTGAGGCTGCAACCAGCAGATCTATTCCTCACTTTGTCAGCTGGTCAGTCTACACAATTCACCAACCAACCACACTCTTCACTCTATAAAGCTAAAAAGGGGCATGGATGTCAAGTGTTTGAGAAGATGCATATGTGTGAATAGAAAAATAAACGTTTGTCTCGTAATTCAACAAGTCACATATTCAAAACAGCACTTTTGAGATGCAGCAGACTCTTTCAGCCAAAGAGAAATAAGTTGTTTGATTTCTTTCTTCAGTCTTCCGCATCTTGGTCTTCAACCTGCCATTTATGGGCCATTCTTTCCCTCATGTTTACTGCAGTATGTGTTTTGTGTGTGACCAGTGATTGTTAGTGTGAGTTCACTCCGCAGTCCCCAGAGACCCATAGATCCTCCAGATTGCAACTTCTAAAGACAGTGTTGTCCTGAGGAGATTACGAGGCGCAGTGTGAACGCTGTAATCTGCGGCCTGGAGGCCTGCTCGATCTGTGCGTGTGTAATCTGTGGCTGCACTCAGCTACTGATGATTTATAGAGAGGGAGATACTGGCAGACGGTGATGGAGGGATAGAGGGATGAGGAGAATGTGTCAGAGCCTAAATTAACCGTGTCTTAACTTGGACTCATCATGAAAAGGAAAACATGGAACTCCCAGGAATGTTACAAACTGGCTGCAGCTAGAAAATAACTTTAGAAAATAGACTTAAAGCTACTGTAATGTTTAATGTTTGATTCTGATACAAAATAAATAGATTTAAGATCATTGTTTTGGAATAAACGTATCTGTCTTGGTTCAGTCGTAAAGATCTCATCAACCTACTTTAGAAGCAGGACGTCGTTTTCCTCATAGCAGAGAACGATTCAAATTCATCAGGTGGCAAGAAACGGGACTTCAGATGCATGCTAATGTTGCTCCATGTCTGCTGGATATGTAAATTGAGAACTGTTTTCTTAACTCTACACACAACATAACAGCTTGTTATTTTGCCCCCAAGTAGCCCCATACAATCAATAAGAGCTACTTTAAGCTAAGACAAATAGTCCACACTAACAGTATTATAGTATATTTATGAAGTTATGCTTGTTCCAGCTCGTCACTGATGAATACAAAACATATTCTTATCGAGGTATCATCTTTTCTTAAGTCTCAATAAAGCTTGGCTTCACAGGATGTGTTTGTGCTGACTGACAGCTGTTGCGTCAGTACAGTTGTTCAGGTTACGGCAGCTGTATAACTTTTGACTTGAAGTCATCCATTATACCTTGACTGCTGCTAAAATCCTGAGCAGTGCAAGAAAAATACTTTTTTGAAGTGTAAATACTGTTGTATATCCAGAATCACACTTTTTGTAGACATAAATTCAATACTTACACCTTTTTTAGGAGTCAGTTATTCATGTGATGGTAGATATTGCTCAATAATAGCAGCCATGATCAAAATCTAATAAATGGAGAGATTTGGACTTCAGCATAAATAGGAGCCTGAATGTGTTTGTGAGAGGGGGGGAGAGAGGGAGAAGGACACAGCTGTGACTTGGTGAAAAGATCAGCTGCATGCCATTTCCTGTTGGAGAGGAGATGGAGAAGGACACACACACAACACGCACACGCGCACACACGCACATGCGCACACACACACGCGCACACACACACAATCTCAATTGTACCAGCTGCAAGGCTTACTGGTTGCCACAGCACCTTGCTATAAGAAAATATCAATCGATTTTCAGCGCCTGCCTTACCCCCCTGTTCAAATTCAATCCCAGTTCACTTCTTACTGTGTAGCAGCAACCGGTAATATACAATATACCTACATATACTTACAGTGCAGTTGTCACTACAAAAGCACGAGTGCAGTAATAAAAATGTCAAAGCATTGTAATCCTTCCTTTATGACTCTCCATTTTATTTGATATTTCGGAAACAGTTCTAAATTGGTTTGAATCCTACTTAAAGGACAGAAACAACTTTGTTTCTATAGGTAAATACACATCTGAGTTGACAAATATGACATGTGGGGTACCTCAAGGCTCCATCTTGGGGCCTCTTCTCTTTAACGTCTACATGCTACCACTGGCTCAGATAATGAAGAACAACAAAATAAGTTACCATAGCTATGCAGATGACACACACATTTACGTAACAATTTCACCAGGAGACTATGCTCCAATTCAAACACTGAGTAAGTGCATTGAACAAATCAATGACTGGATGTGTCAGAACTTTCTCCAATTAAACAAAGATAAAACTGAGGTAATGGTTTTTGGAGCCAAGGTAGAACATATAAAAGTTAGCACTGAGCTTCAGCCTGCAATGTTCAAAACAACAGATAAAGCCAGAAATCTAGGTGTAGTCATGGACTCTGACCTGAGTTTCAACAGTCACATTAAAACAGTTACTAAATCAGCCTACTATCACCTAAAGAACATATCTAGGATTAAAAGACTAATGTCACAGCAAGATTTGAAAAAACTTGTCCATGCTTTTATCTTCAGTAGACTCAACTACTGCAATGGTGTCTTCACAGGTCTCACTAAAAAATCTATTAGAAAGCTGCAGCTGATTCAGAACGCCGCTGCTCGAGTCCTCACTAACACCAAGAAAGTGGATCACATCACTCCTGTTCTGAAGTCTTTACACTGGCTTCCTGTGTGTCAAAGAATAGATTTCAAAATACTGCTGCTGGTTTATAAAGCACTGAATGGTTTAGGCCCAAAATATATTTCTGACCTCCTGCTAAATTATGAACCATCCAGATCTCTCAGGTCTTCAGGGACTGGTCAGCTTTTTGTCCCCAGAGTCAGAACTAAACATGGAGAAGCAGCGTTCAGTTATTATGCTCCAAATATCTGGAACAAACTCCCAGAAACCTGCAAGTCCGCTACAACTCTTACTACTTTTAAGTCCAGGCTGAAGACTTTTCTTTTTGTCGCTGCTTTTATTGAACTATTCATATCTTAAACTGCACTGTAACTTTTATCCATGTATTTGTTCTTTTAATGTTTATTTTATTAGCTTTTCTTTTTAATGACTGATTTTAAATGCCATTTTCTTAATGTCTTTCGTTTTTTGTAAAGCACTTTGAATTGCCTTGTGTTGAAAAGTGCTATATAAATAAACTTGCCTTGCCTTGCCTTGCCTTGATACCTGTATGTAAATGTGGCTGTCCATCATAAGTATTGAGGCAAGATTCATATTCGTATAAATAAACACTATTCTGACTGTAATAGGATTCTCATTAGCATTTCACCGTGTATTCGTGTTTGTGAGTTTTCTTGTCACTAATGCCTCACTTAGGGAAGTTTATTATCCAACTTATTACCCCCCCACAGGTACCTGAGAGTGATTTTCCATTCCTCACGTACAGTATTCCTTCCCTTTTTGCTTTTATGAATAGCAGAGTGCTCTATTAGCTGGAGCTGTGAAGTGATTTTGCGGTGTGGGGAAAAGTGAGAATTGAATGCGACACAAGCTGTTTACCATGCTGATGCTCGTGCTATTATATTGATCCAAGAAAATGTCTCTGAGATGCTTCTCCTCCCCCATGCTTCTGCACCGTCCTAGAACATCACATCTTCCTCAAAACTCCTCTTCAAACCAGTTTTACTTTCTCCTCTTTCTCCCTGTTTTTCAGCTTCTTCTCTTATTGTCTGACCATCCATCCTCCTACTCTCTTGTCTCCTTTTCTCTGTAGAATACATGATGGACGAGATGGAGAGGAGGAGAATCGTGGAGGAGCCAGTCAGAAAATGTCCCATCCCTGCCCCTCGAACCTCCGTCCCCTCACCCTGTGCCTCCCCCTCCCTCAGACACAAGAGTGAGTAACACACACAGACATGAGAACAACCACAAACAATGATTAGGTTCATACTGGGATTGAAGGTGCTTTAAGGGACATTTTTCTAATGTTTCTATTGTTTTTTGTGGTATTATAATACGTCATACTGGAAACCAATACATTATGCATAAGGTCCATGATATGTTTTGAGATATGCTTCAACATCTTATTATTTCATTATTAATGCTGATTATTTATGTTAGTAAAGGAAATATACTGAAGTCCAACTGTGTAGCCCAGAGGAAGAATTTAACTTTCATCCTGAAATATATTTTAACTTGGATTATTGTGCCTTTATTTGTTGTTGTAAAAACATACAACATAAGCAATTTATTTTTGCAACAATAGAGTATAAACCCAGTCATGGAGAGCAGCTCCTGTAGTGGAGACAGACAGTTACTACCGCTCTGCACTGACATGCTAATCCCTGTCAAGCGCTGCCCCCTATGTTCTAAATGTAGCATTGCAACAACCTCCTGTTTGTTTAGGAAACCATTTGTACAGTATGTCTAAATATAATAAAAGGATGATTTAAATGAATATATTCTACCCAATGTGTGCTTAGCAGTCTGATTTGGTGTTTAAATCAGTCATAAAACAGATTTATTTTCACCCTTGCTGGAGACTTTGGTTGTTTCTCTTACTTCCCTTGGACCTCTCCCCAGATGATGCCGTGACAAGTGAGCTGTCCAAGCTGCTCCACGAGATCAAAAAGTGCCGGGACAGAGACTACTCCTTCGAGGAGCTCTGCCACACCATCTCCTCTCACTCCATGGACAGCTTTGGCAGCGGGCGGCTCTCTGACGAAGAGCGGCCCGACAGACCCAACGGGACCCTGACACGAGTCAAGGTAGGGTTACTCAGTCATGACAGGGGATTGGTGCATTTCAAATCAAAACTTTTGGAGGAAAAAAATCATGGAGGATTACTTCGCGTCTGATCCTGTCTTCAAGAGCTTCTTGTGAACTTTGCAGTTTAAGGCAAACATTGTTCTTATAAAATCAGTGCCGATTCTAGAGTCTGTGGGGGCCCTAGGCAAACATTCACTGGGGGCCCCTCGAACCAGCTTTTCATCACCACGCACAGCCAACAGCAATATATGAATCATTCCACACGCCTTCATCATTGGATATAACAACAGTGCCATGTCTAGCTGCTATATTTATTTTTGCATCTGACACTTTATAGAAAGAAAACTAAAACAGAACCCCTGCTGTGTGAAGCACATCAAAGCTACAGTAGACTACGAATCTCTATCCCCTCTTGACAACAGAGGGCAGTATCAGACTGACTGAAGCCACGAGCGCTCTCCTCTTATTGAGTATTCACTTGCTGTTGCAGGAACATGACAGCTTCTGGTTGTTGAATTACTTTAGATGTGTAATTACTATTTGTGCTCAGACAGCCGTTCACAGCCTGCAGACATTGTTTTATTGACCTTATTTATTCTCATCTGGAGCCTTTTTATACTGACATATTGAGAGTAGAATCTACTTCACCTGCTTACTCCCTTTCCACATGCTCTGTTAAACACTCAGTGGCAAACTGTTTGGACTTTATCGGTCGGAGTTCCAGTTTGGCGATGAAATATCTGAGTTTCTTCAGTGTGAGCCTATCAGAGAATCGCAGCTGCACTTTATTTCCAACAGAACAGCACAGCGAGACGGAGAGCTTTTTAAATTCCACAGCCCATGAAGTCAGAGGCAGCACAACACTCAGGGGTCATCTATCACACTGACCCCCCACATGAGCTCTTAGACCACGCACGCACGCACGCACGCACGCACACACACGCACGCACGCACGCACGCACACACACACACACACGTAAGGTTAACATACACGCCTCGGCTCACTTAGTCTATAATTATCTCGGTCCATCATGTGTCCCCCTCTCGCTCGCTATAAGTGCCAATTTGTATTCTATCACTGACATTCACAGTGTGTGTGTGTGTGTGTGTGTGTGTGTGTGTGTGTGTGAGTTTACGTGCCCCCAGTCTGTGTGTGTGTGGCAGGAACCATTAGTATGTGATTGCTGTGCCTGTAACCATGAATAAAACATGCAAAAACCCATGACACACACACACACACACACACACACACACACACACACACGATAATATAATTTTGATCACTCGTGCAGTCCTCAGTAATGAATAATTAATTAGTGTCCTTTTATTGACGCTGGCTGATATCAGATTTTACTGGAGGGAAATCTGTCTGTCGTTCATGCTTTTCTAGTTTGTGTGTGTGTGAGCACTGCTTTTCATTTTACATCCATCAATATTCCAGTGTTGAAGAGGGCCTTTTGCGATCTGGAGCGATTGGTGACCTTTTGGTTTCAGCCTCATTTTCTGCCTCCATCTCCAGTCTGTCGTCCCCTCCCTCTGTATCATCTCTCACTTCCTAATTTAACCGTTTGACTCTTCCCGTTCTTTAACATGTCCTCCAAGTTCCTCTCTTTATCTTTGATTTCTTTGCCCTCCTGTTTTGATTTAGATCTCATAGATAAAAAGAGATTTGTCTTCCCTTGTCATCAGACTTCCCTCCGTCCCTCTCTTTCCTCAAGAGGTGGAAGAAGTACTCAGATCTTGTACTTAAGTAAAAGAAGTACCAGAGTGTAGGAATACTCTGTTACAAGTAAAAGTCCTGCAATCAAAAGGTTACTCAATTAAAAGTACAAAAGTATTTGCATCAAAATATACTTAAAGAACCAAAATCAAAAGTACTCATTATGCTGATTTGCCACTGAATTGTAGTGGAGAAGAAATATAAAGTGACAAAACATGTAAATACTACTCCAAAATGTACTTCTACTTAGTTACTTCACACCACTGCTCTCCTCTCCTGTCACCTCCTTGTAAAGCTTGATATCAGGCACTGTGGGGGTGTTTGTCTCTGTGCTCTAGTGTTAACTGTCCTCTGGCTGCATCATATGGTTCACTGAGGATCAGCTGTTCTGGGCCGGCCCTCTGACAGGTCCCGCCACAGAGCTCCTCCACCCAGCTGCCTCCTGGGAGCCCAGGGCCCGGGGGGACACACCACAGGGAGATAAAGTAGTTCTGCTGTCCCTTCACCTTTCTCCTCAAACTAACTTCTAATTCAAATGTGTCACTTGTTTCAAGAATTGTATTTTAAATGATCCTCGGCATCTTAGGAAAAAGGAGATTGAGGAAAAGAAGGATACTAAATGTCAATATCTAGCAGGCAATATCTATTCACTGTTTGTGCTGAACCTACTCTTTTTACTACTTTTCTGGCTTCTTCTGAATTTTGACTTCCTTATTATTGGTCATGTTTTCAATCTGGTGGTTTTAAAAAACCTTTTTGTTTGTGCTCACAGAGACCGACCCCGCCACTCGCAATGGCCGTAGAAGAGGAAGAGCCTGAAAAGAGTTGCGGCCCCGGTGGATTCTGGGAGGCCCTGACGCCCTGCAACGGCTGCCGCAACCTGGGCTTCTCCAGCCTGTCACAGGTACACACGCACACACACACACACACATCTGCGCACACACCTGCGCACACACATCTGCACACACTCATGCACACAGAGTACCTGTTTTAGCCTACTCGAACTGGATGACTCCCCTAAATTACATTGAAATGTGTGGACATACAGTAACGGCACTCATTGTATACAACATAATCGTATCACTTGAACATGACTCACATGTTGCAGAATAATGCAGTTTACACACGTGCACACACACACACACGTGCACACACACACACACACACACACACACACACACACACACACACACACACGCACTGCTTCACTCCTGTGAAATTACAGGCTAGTGATCTAGCCATTGTTCTGGGTGAATACTTTTAGTGGTTACCTTGGGAACGCAGCGAGTGAGACGAGAGAGACTGCCACTGTTCTCTGTTCAGCATCTCAAGATTGTTCTGTCTATCTTTCATCTTAATTTTCTCTACTGAGAACCCTCCTGAAAACCTCTTCATCTCTTTAGTTCTGAAGCTTTTACCTTTTTAAGAGTGGTACTTGGTTCATGAACCATCATAGGACCATCTGATGCATGAGATCAAGTAAAAGGATAATCATCCCCTCTGAGGGGAATGTGAATATTGCAGCAGCAGATAAATACACTGTAAAGTGTAAATGGGACTTTTCATATTTGTTAGAGGATCAAAACCGGCATTGAGTTTTCTGACAGGTGAAAGGGTTTTATGTATTATATATTTATGTGTTTATTAGCTATTAAGAGTCGATATCTGGCATCTGATCTCTAATATGAAACATTTATACTTAGAGTGGCCCTGAGAAAAGAGAGATAACTGAATATAAACCTTTCAAACATATTTACGAGGCCAGAGCCCACAGCAGAAAGTTGTTCATGAAAAGGTTTTACTTCTAATCAATGCGTTTTATGAGCCTGAAAAACAAAGTCAGACTAAAATGACTCCCAATCATGTTTTTAAACTCCTTACCCAGATTAAATATGTGTGTTATGTTTAGTCAATTAAACGTGGGGCTGTTTCTGCACAGCAAGTGTGCAGAACCTCTTAGCTTATAAGGCAAATCTATATACAGATTGTATACATATCTTTACTCTAGATTTCATCATATACTGTAATTGTAACTTGGATATATTTGCAGACACAGAAAAATGTGAAGGAATGACATGTTATGTGTGTTATAAAATAGCATAATAGATGCACTTAAGGCGCATTTACATATTGTATGGAAAAGCAGACACAACAGCTTTAAGATGAGTCTGCCGTCATGAAGAAAAGGAGCAGTTTATGTGTTGCTGAAAGATTATTATTGCCATACAGAAAAAGCTTAGTTTACCTTCTTTAGATCGTGTGCATCCCTCATACCTTTTGTACCTGAGTATTCCCTCTGATATATCCAATATGTTGCATAAGTTAACATTTATTAGGAATACGTGGAAATCGTCTTCCACCTGTTGCACCCCACAGTATCCTTTTGTGTTTTTTTAAAACAGAACTCAGTAGAAATATGCAAATGATCCTCCACTTCCTAGTGTTCCTTCTCCATCCTTTCTTCTTCCTCCCTCCCTTGCTTCCTTCCTCCTCCCTAAGCCTCCATGCAGGGCATATAAGTGTGGTTAAGTGTGTGAGGAGGAGGAGGAGGAGGAGATGGTTTAATGGCGAGCTGCGCGCTAGCTCACACAGTAGGACATCTGACATTAAAACACAAGCGACCCTCTGTCTGGTTTACTGGCAGCTTGCCTGCTGCCTGGTACACTGCCTGGAGGGGCTCGCACCTGGTGTGTGTGTGTGTGTGTGTGTGTGTGTGTGTGTGTGTGTGTGTGTGTGTGTGTGTGTGTGTGTGTGTGTGTTGTGTGTGTGTGTGTGTGTGTGTGTGTGTGTGTGTGTGTGTGTGTGTGTGTGTGTGTGTGTGTGTGTGTGTGTGTGTGTGTGTGTGTGTGTGTGTGTGTGTGTGTGTGTGTGTGTGTGTGTGTGTGTGTGTGTGTGTGTGTGTGTGTGTGTGTGTGTGTGTGTGTGTGTGTGTGTGTGTGTGTGTGTGTGCAATGCATAGAAAGCAAGTCTGTTTAATAACAGTGTATACCACTGAAATAGTTTGGCATACACACAGATATGCTGCCCTTGAGATCTGTGTGTGTGTTTGTGAAATTGGCATGGCTTCATTATGTATTTATGTGGGTTGGTTTTAGTGTGTGTGTGTATTTTATGGGAGAAAAAGAAGGAAGGGACAGGGTGAGTGAGGAAGAAAACATTGTCACATAATTAAGTTAGCACCGTGCTAATTTGGCCTGTGTAATTATGAATACACTGAGTTAACATAAAGAAAGCAGCCTGTGTGAAACATTTTCACACTGCAACCTTTCTTCCTATCATCCCCCATCAGATCTGTCAAACAAATTATTTTTTGCTTGTCGTCCCTCTCTGTCCCATGTTTATCTCTCTCTCTCTCTCATCCGTCTTTCACTTTACATTTCAGCAGAAGGGTGTTAACCTCTGTCTCGATTGTCGGACCACCAGAGTGTTCTGGTGGTCCAGCTGTCACTCAAAGCTGTCAGTCAAAGAGCTAAACTTGTCTAACAGGTCACACAGAGCATCAGCAGAACATCCTTGCACTATAAAACTTGAGTAAAGTAAACTTTATGAAGTGCCAGAGTGTTGCTGTTTGGAGCGGGTCGATGGCTCTCTGTGGTATTGCTGCTTTCAGCTTTCTCAAGAACCGCTCATCCGAACAACTTCACACTCAACAGAACACTTCCTCGGTCCTCAGCAACACACACGCTCAGTGTGAAGTCGATTGGATGAGCTTTTTCTGAGAGAATCAAAGGACAGACACTCGGAAACAAACCATTTTTTTCAATCAGCTGCAAGTGATGGCACCTGAATACATTTCTGCCTAACTTAGTTGTTATTTTTCCTCTTTTTTATGTGAGACATTCAGTTATTATCTGTGTCCTTCACACTGGTTTAACATGGCTGGGACTATATTGGAACATTTGCTAAAATTGCATCTTTTGTGCACCAATTTGAGTTCCAAATCAGAAGATAGTTGTTGTTGACAGGCTTGTGTTATTAAAAAAAATGAGAAAAAACGTTATTAGTAGTATCTCATAAACTGGCAATAGTGTGTTTCTATAACTGTATTGCACACAGTATGCACAAGCAGGAATTCTATCAATATTTGTATGTTCGAACCAGAATATGGCAGTCTGTTATCGGTATGTGTGTGTGGTTTGCGTGGTGTGTGTGAGGGCATATGTACCTGCATAAGGACACTCTTCTTGTTGTGAATTCTCGTTGCCAGTCACATGTTTCCTCCCACCATCGCCATGCCAACGCTGACTGACGGCAGTGTGTGGAGGAGGTTCCCCTGTGATGTTAAAGAAGTTCAGACCTCACTTAAGGAAATGTTTAAAAGCAAAAGAGAGAACAGGGTGAAGGATGAAGAACAAGCGCATGAAACATATTCAGATAGAGAGGAGGCTGGCAGGGTTGCCAGGCAACGCAGACATTCATAAGGAATAAGGCGTGGGATGTCCACCATTGACAAATCTCAGTCAGCAGGAGCGTTGAATGCACACATACACGTCAGCATTTTCAGACTGCTTCTCTCTCTCTCTCTCTCTCTCTCTCTCTCTCTCTCTCTCTCTCTCTCTCTCTCTCTCTCTCTCTCTCTCTCTCTCTCTCTTCTGTCTCTCTCTCTGTCTCTCTCTCTGTCTCTCTCTCTCTCTCTCTCTGACTTCCCCATTAGGTTTCTCTTCCTGCAGTTTTCCTGTATTGAGTTAATGGCTGCTCGCCTTTAATGTTCTCAGCCCATGGTTTTCTTTTGAGGAGGTGAAGAGGGGAGGGCAGGTCTGGTTGAGATCAGAAACCGACGAGGACTCTTGAGGATGTTCAGGGACATGAAAGGCCGCGGTCTCTCAGAGAGCAGAGGTTACATGGAGAGCTTCAGAAGCCAGAATGCACTCTGCAGGAGACAGGGCTTTCCATGCGAAGGATTTGGAATCGTACGTTTTCTGATTAAAAAATGTCAAGAGTAATCCTGTCTAAATGAATGCCAGGACATGTTTACACAGCTGTTCAATTACCCCTGGTGCTGTAGCTGTCTTTATGTCTTTGCATCTGGTGAGAAGTGTGTTTATTGGGGTAATAATGTGATCGTGTGGTTTGATTTAAATGATATTATTCTCAGTGAGTTCATACTTTTACTAGCATAAAACCAAACTTAAATGTTATAAATACAAAATCTGTTTATTTCTTTAACCTTCTCTTTTTGTTCTCTAGTGTTCTACCCCCTACTATTATCTCCCACTTCTCTCTCTCTCTGTGTGCTGCTCTCAGCGGGACGCGATGCTGCTTACACTTAGTTCTTGTTAATGGCTTTATGCCCTCTAGACTCTGCAGCTATAGACTGTCTTCCTGTCAAACCTAACCTTCAACACACACACACACACACACACACACACACACACACACACACACACACACACACACACACACACACACACATACACACACATACACACACATACACACACACACACACACACACACACACACACACACACACACTTATTCTGCCCTTGATACTTGGAGATGTTCCTTATGAGTTTTAAATGTGTGTGTGTGTGTGGGGGGGGGATTGTGTAGCCTGACATCCTGCTGGAGTTCAGATATCTCGTTGTCCTTGAGGTAAACAGGAAGAGGGCGAAAAGATTGGAGAAAGGGACGTAAGAGCTCAAATAAAGAAGGACCACTCACAGGAAAGAGTGAACTCCTATAGCACCAACGTACACTGAGCAAGGCTTTTAAATGCCTCAAAAGAACCCTTTTAAGCTCACTTCTCTAAGTATTTGTCATTTTGGATTATTTATTTGGGGGGGGGGAGGGGATTCAGATTTTATGTCATGTGGTAGTGAGGTGGTGCTACAGTAAGTGTTGTGTAACAATTTGAGAAGTAATTTGATATCTAATGTTCCACTTCCTTCTCCTCTTTCTGAC